TACTACTGACCGCGATAGGCAGCTTGCAGTTCATGTTGCTCGCTGCGAATGCTGTGCAGCACTTTGAGGACAGGTGGTGAAGTCTCGTGTGGCGGCCAGGTATAACAGCTCTCGTGCTCCCTCTTCGCGGCTTTCCAGTGACGAAAACGGCACATTTCTGCTAGAGTCTGTCACATTTGACAATAATTCATTTTGCAATCAGGCGCAATCTTCCACACCCTCATGAGTGGATCTCGAGCATAAATTCTTGGACCAACTTTCTTTTCCAGAAATGGGACCCAGGACTTTCCAGTGACGCTTGTAACGAAGCAAGAGGTGTTGTGGCCTCTAATGCACCTCATAAATTCACGGCTGAAAGGTAAGTCTACTCATACAAGAATATTCCACATAGTAACGCTATCTGTTAAGAACCTTTGCGAGAGGTGGGTCAGTCCCAGTCATGATTGGACTAACCCTAATAAACGGTTTGGGAGACGAAACACAAACGCAGGATGTGAGTTCAAGCGAAATTTTTCAAAACATATAGATATTGTGGGTGTGGAGATTCTGGCTCTGCGACTGGAACTTATCGAGATCGCGATAAAGTCAGGAGACACCTTATTCCCTCGTATAGAGATATCATATCGCGGAGCTAAGGCGTGGCTATGTCTTCATTTGAAGGTGGCACCTGCTCCTGTGCCGCTTTTGGGAGAACTAGTCGTGTCGTTTTGCTGAATGACAGTTGTCCGATTGACTGTTTGATGTAAATATCCTACGATAATATGCACAGTGTACAAATGCCCTCTGCATACAAGGAATATAAATAGCGAAAATTCATGATTTACGAAGCTTTCCTTTGGTGAGCGGGATGTTAAAACGGGAAGAAGTTTCAGAGTTTTTGTGCTGGTCAGATTCTGTGCTATCGTTTTTTTAGGTACGCAACCTTCCTGCACGCACCAGGTATGGATGCAACAGCTTCTTCAAAGGGAACCTAGTAAAAGTCGTCTGTGTCTACAAGGAATGATTCTCCTTCTGCAAGTACGCAGCTGGAAAGCAACATAAGCCTGGTTTTTCGCAGAATAAAGTTTCTCGTTCATTTATCAAGAATGTGAAGCACTGATGATGCAAAGTATCATCCTCCAGAAATCAACTACGTCATCTGTCACTATCATTGAAAAATGCAACTCGACTCAACGACACCAGTCACATTAGAATATATCGTTGATTTTTGTTGAAGGCAGTTGGCACGATGACTTGGTGCGCATCCCAAAATGCTAGTAGGGGGCTAAATAGTGAGGGGGAGGGGAATGGCGAAAAATGGAGTGAAACGGTAAAAACCTGCGAAGAAACAGCCTCCGTTCTCTCCGCTTCATAATTTGCTTAGCAAATGAATCGATTAGAGCGTCAGGAACGGTCGTCCATTTGTGGGCGGGCGGGCGGGCGTTTGGGTCGGTAATGTTGTGGCTTGATAGGGCCCTTATAAGGGCACCTTCCTTGGAAAAGGCATTATGCAGCGCCTGCTCAGGGTCGCGGAATTCCGTCCAGTCAGGCGTCTTGGAGGATTTATCGTGCCAGCTGCCCTTGATTGAGGATTCAGTCAGTGCATTGTGCTATCGCCACCTCGCGATACCACAAGGCACAGCTTTTTTCATATATCTTGAATTTTCTTTTCCAAGCACAAAAATGAAAACTTTATTCTTTGCTTTTACTGCATATCACCATAAGTGAAGCAGGTATAGCACACAGGTGTGCAAGCGAAAGTCATAGTGCGAACAGTGCGAATAGGTTCGGTTTCCTCAGGCCTGTACAACGACAGGATGTCATTTCGCTTTCACGCCTCTGCTCCCGCATATCGATGAAAAACATTATGGGTATCTTCCTCTCGATGTTTATTCGTTATTCACGGATCTCCATCTTATGTGGACTCGGCAAAGTGTCTTTTATTTATTGGTGCCCTTGTGACATTATAATTTTCAGGCGCGCTTTTTCATGTTAAGTATTATTGCTGTCTTATGAAATATTGAAAATCGCTTTTCTAGCCGCTTAATCTTGAATGACGCTCAATTGTTCGCAACTATTTACTCTCAGATAGCCGTCGTATCCGAAGGCGGTTCCTACTTCCACGACTTAGAAGCGCGCCAGATGGTTCCCGACTAAGGCACACTAGTGCATTTTTTGTGTGTATTATTCATGAGAAACCATGCACGGATACAATTGTGTATTGTGCTGGCCAGCGGCTGATTTTCGTTTCATACTTGCATTTTAGTCTCGTCTTGGGTAGAAAGTCGTTCGCCGTATGGATACTTGAGACGGATTTCGAGGAAGTATTTCGACTGAAGATGCGCCAGTGGCTAATTGGCATTCAGACAGGGACCTGCCATATTCGCATCGAAGCTGCAGAGAGCTGAATGTGGATATACTACCCGATGGGTACCAAACAAGGAAATTATTCTTATTCTTTCTGAAAAACCTTCAGTAGTCTCAACTTCAATCCTTCATCCTGAGTTGAGACACTGACTCATTTTTCGGAGTATACCAGTTCTCTTTCAGTCCATAGTTAGTTAGCACAAATTAGTGAAGTAGCTCCCTAAGTAGTTGAAATGAGACAGCGCTGTCACGTTGAGACGTGGTTATTGCATTGCACGAAAAAGACCCCCCTTCTGCACTTGGACCGACAACACAAGAAAGATGGAGCGGTGTTTAAGCAGCTGGCTATCGTGGATTCTCTTCTTGAGAAAATTTGTGATAGCATTGTGAATTTAAGCGACTAAGCTTAGTACTGCAGTCAAGAAATTGTCGAGTCAAAGTCTCTGTTCTAGAATGGCTCTGACGACTAATTCATGATGCCTTGAGGTAAATATTTCAAATAACAGTGCACCACATTGTTAATGAATATTTGCGCGATTTATTCTGTCATAAACTGGACAATGTATCTTGTCAGTTGCGTGTGCATGCTGAAGATAAATCATTCCTTGGGAGTCTTGTAGAGACAGACGACCCTTACTAGTTTTCCTGACTGGACGCTGTGTTGCATCCATACTTGGTATGTGCAGGAAGCTCGTTCCCCCCCCCCCCTACCTACTAAAAAACCATAAGACAGAGCCCGAAAAACATGGAAACTCCCTGACTTACGCAACGTCTTCCTATTTGGATTAGTCTCTCAACTTTAATGCGAGATTCCGCAAATCACAGGAGTTTTGCAGAAATTATCGATTAACATCATTCTTACCAGAGAATAAGTGGAGCTGGCTGCGCTTTCAGTTGATGTTGGTCGCCGACTGCGCTTTCATGTAAGTGTCGGGACTGCGCTTTCATGTGAGTGTTCATGTGCGGCTGCGATTTTGGTGGAATATGTTTGAACAACTGTGTTACTGCCTTTTCCCAGCACAAGTTAAAATGAAAGTTTCACAAACCAAAACATCTCCCCGGAAAAACTTATCCCACCTTATGTCTGTATGAAGTAAGAATCACTTCCCATGTACGGGTGTGGAGTGTAACGTGCCACAGTTCAGCAAGAGAATTTCTGTAGTCGCTACTAATTTAACTATCATCACACGCACTGTATCCTGGAAGTAGGGAGGGCGTGCTTGCTTGACGCGTTGTTCGTAGTACATACATTTTCACATGATACAAATGTCATTCCGCACAATGACTTGTTCACAATTCTTCCAAAATGGCACTATCCTACTGACTGGGGTTGGTCCCCAGGTTGAAGTAGCCTTCATCTAATGGGACATAGATGACAGCACCTGTTTTTGGATTGTGATCCCGAATCTGCTTTCGAACTATGCAGAACGATCCTCTTAACGGAATAGTGGAGGTTCGTTTGGATAAATAGACACATAGTCAAAAGCGTTCGCAGGGCTTGAATAAATGTGAAGTGACTGCACTGCAAGCGGCTGCATGGCGTAATGATAAGATCCTTGCTAAGCGTCCAGGCAGTCATTGATGTAGCACTGAGGCTAGCACGAGGAGCAAAACGCTCGATAATCTGTCGAGAAACGTCTGCAAATCAAATGCAATTAGGTTTGAGATCATGGTCTGAAACTACGATGAGCTATATCTCATTAGAGACTGCTTCCTCAACCTCAAGACCATCCCATGTGTGAGAGAGCAGCTGCCGCCACGTTCAGATAAAGTACGTACCACCACGCTCTTTTCTGGGATATGGAGTGTTCATACGAGGAAATGTGGTGTATTCTGAAACCTTATCTCAATTTGGAACACATTTATTCTCAGAAGTGAAGGTGTGGCGTCACACTTCCACATCCACCAGGTTCGATGTTATTAAAAATTTCATTTTGACTCACAATTTTGGTTTTTGTTTCATCCTGCGAAGCGTCCTCCAGGACCTCCTTAACCATCTTTTCGGGAGATGCAAATACCATAAAGCGTCTTAACGAGTTGAGTGAGAGTGTTTTGTGAAATAAAAGTTGATATTTATTCGCATCAGCAAATACCAACTTATCTGCCTTGAATTTATAGGGTGCATCGGAAGTTCTTCGACGTCTTGCCTCGTCACAAGCCTCACGAGAAAGTCTTGGGTCCCATTTCTAGAAGCATGATTTTTCAAAAATCGATGCTAGGATTTCGCTTATGTGGATGCCAAAGATACTTAGCACACTTAGGTGTAAGATGGATCGTCTCGCCGTGCGATGTATGCAGGTTCGCGTGAATATGCCACTTTTATACCTTGAAAGTGTTCGAAAATAATGCCGGAGGTTTGTGGATGCTGAATGCCATTATGGACCTCTACCCGCTGTCCACAACTTGCGGCACTTGCGTAGATCCTGAGGACCTGCACGAATAACACGGACTACAAGCTGCCTATCGTTACCATGTGTAGACAACAACAAAACATGAGATGGTGCAGGCAAGGCGGTCGTTCGGTCACAGTTAGGCGTATGCTTGGTGCACAGCCAGTGCGTTCTCGTGTGTCAGTCCGAAAAGGCATTTGGCTACCACTATCGACCAGCCCTCATTTCAGAATGATGAAAGAGGTACACTGTTATAGCTGTTCATCTTGCACATAACAAAGATCACGGTCTTTGAAGGTGGGCCGTAGAACCTATCTTCGAGAGGATTAAGTAATAAGTCGCCTGAGTTTCTCAGAATGTTTCACTGGGATTCGGTACATATTCAAAATTTTAGTTGTGGTAAAACTCTACCGTCAATGATGATAACTGCTGTTTAACGCCGCAGTTCGCGTTCCGAATGTTATCACAAGAATGCTGAGTTGTGGGCAAAAGTCGTGCCCCAGGCGGGAGTCGAACCCGTGGCGTAACGGATAGCGCACTCGCCCGGAAAGCGTGAGGTGCGGGTTCGACTCCCGCCTGGGGCACGACTTTTGCCCATAACTCAGCACCTTGTGATAGTAATCTACCGTCAGTTATAGGCGATAATTGGAACGAATATTTCATGAAGATACGACATCAAAACACCAACCAAGTCAGGGTTAAGGCCTAGATTGAACTTCGAGTACCAGGAACTGAATGCTGTGTAGGTCGGGCATATAGCTGAAAACACATATTTCTCCTTCATTCGTGAAGTAAGGACTGTTCTTAGCAGTCGTGATAGGTAAGAGGAAAAGGTATTAGGTTTGCGGAAAAGTTCTGTCACTTTTTCGAGCTCAAAATATTTGCCCATTACCTGAAGGGGTGAACGGTAATGTGAGCACTTATACATCAAAGAGTGGTCTTTCTATTAGTACCACTCGCTTGATTCCTGCTTCTTCTTCATCTGCAATATGGACAAGAATGTTATGTTATGTTTTGTATGTTATGGTGGAATGGTACCATCGTCACCTACCCCTCCAAATGCTTCTGATAGTGCAGCGCACTTCCAAAAAAGTTCTAGCCGTTCCTCATGCAATAGAGCTGGATGGCTCTCCCCTTGCAGTGGTGTAGCACAGACATTGCTCCTTCTAACTGCGAGTTGCCTCCCGTAATCAATCATTACTGGACGAGAAATTACGAGAAAACCTCGAAAAGTCTGAGTTCAAGCCAAGATTGAGATGATGTCCAACTTTGTATCGCGCCTCCCTGCATTGTGAAGCGATGGCATCCATGAGGTGCTCAAAAACAGGCAAGGACCCCGCAGTAGCATTGCTGTACAATTTTGATCTTACACGCCTCTCTATAAAAAGAAAGCCCAATTTGAAAAAAGTGACAGAACTTTCCCGCCAACCTAATAATAATTTCAATTACCATAGGAATTCAGCGGCTCAACTTACCCTTGAGCCTCTACATTGATCAAGAGGAAGCACAATGGTATGAGAGCGAACAACATTTTGATTGGAACAAGATCATGCCCGTCCATTTTATAGGCCATCTCTCCATGACGGTTTCACAATTGGTATCGAACGAAATCATCTGGAAATTATTTTCAAGCTGTTTGGTTAACTGTGTATCCCTTTTTGTCAATACCTCCTTATTCACGTGCTCTGTGATCCCGGAGAAATAGAGGTCGATGCAAACAAAGCAACATTGTGCTATAGTCTGATATGATGTTTGCTCGTTATTCATTCAGTAGCGATCCGTGCTGGATGGATAGCGATTTTCGGGCTAATCCTGCAGCGACAATCATGCCACACCAAAATGTTCCGCGACGACGAATGAACTGCAGTAGTTCTGGAAACGGTATCTTAACATGATGCTGCCTTAAATGAATTGCCGTGCTAATTAAGCGAGAAACACGCATGGACACGATGACAGCTCAAAAGACCACAGACAATGAATATCACTGCGTTCACATTTGGTATGAGTATCCTCTCGGCACCTGACTGGGAGTACAGCCGTACGCGTTAGCCGAAATCACCTATCGGAGGTTCTTCCCTCCGAACAAATCAACTAGTTTCTTGCCAGTTTTCTTGATAACACAACCAATAGGTTGAAAGACCAGTCAGAATATAAATAAGCATGGATTCTTCAGAACTGCCTTAGAGTGCACTTTTGTCGTAATGTCGGGAGTGATATTGACCAAAGTACTAGCTATAAGGCTAGTAGACGTGGCGGAGATAGATGCAGTGCTGCTCCTTCCTTTTTTGGAGCAAAACCGCCTGGTGCCAAAGATATGCACTGTTAGGATCGTGGGTCCTCGTATGAGCACTTTACCTATGCCATGGTTTTACAAAGCAAGCTTGGTCAACGCAAAGTAAGACTATATGTTGATTTGACATTGGCTCGTAAAGCATATGTGGCCCATACAATGAGTTCGGGAAATAACCGGTAGTGAAGAGTATCGAACTTCTGGGCAATATCGGTTTTGAAGGCGAGCTGTGTTGCATGGACTTCGGCATGACCTGTTTTTATAAAGTGCGAGGTGGCACTGTCATGTTAAAAGCACACTGTGCAGGCAAGAGGCTCTCTCCATCCTCCGTCGCGAAAACGACTCTCTCTGTCATATTAGACATCCAATCAGTACCCTCTGAGCCTTTGGACGAGGTGCTCCCGTCGCAGAGGAGAGCAATCGGTGAGGAGAGCTACCTTCAGCAAGGGTGAAAAGCCTTTAGAATATTGGGCAGCAATGCGGTGAAGGACATCCTGGAGGTGGGCATGGCTTAAGCTGAGAAAGGAAGCCGCGACGTCTGCCCATATGCTACTACGACACACTGAAAGCATTGCATGGGATAGCTACTGCACACGGCAGTGTATTAGTTAACACAGTACTTATTATCTATATCGTACGTCGCAAGATGGTTTAAGTGTCATTTTCTTTTCTTTTCGCAGTAGTTTATTCCTTTTGTCTACTTCGACACCGATTTCTCAAGACTTGCTGAGATCTTGCCTGTAAAAGTTATTCGGAGTTTCGATGACTACTGTGACATTCTTTTCTGACTTCGACGGCTACCTGGGGCCCATTAGACACCAGTAGCATGTGTAATGGGGCCAGCAGGGGTCAATGTATAGAACCCTTTTCCATTCCAATTTTCTGTAAACTTGCTGAGGTAAGCTGCGCTACCTCATGTACCCATATTTTGTTTAGATTGAGCCTGAGGGATGCTTCTTACTTCAGTATCAGGTTTACCAATGCATCAAATGGCGGTGGAGCCGAGAAGTGAATGGCATACTAGCGGCCGAGATCATCGGTCACTTCCATGTACACAGAAGGAAGGAGCCATGGTACCGAAGCTGACGATTAACGGCTCCGAATGCGGCGAAATTAATGTGTGGAGAATGGTCGAGATTGTGGAAGTACGTTGTACGTCGAGTAAACAGCGGACATTTTTTTCTTTCCAAGAAAGTCCGTCATTGCAGTCTCCTGAATAGAAAGAACACGACTGGCAGAAGCTTGAGCGTTTCTGCTCTTGCTCACTTCACTGCTCTTTCGTTCCTCATCGGCTGATTTTCCAAGCGCTTATTATCTTCATGAGTTCGTACAATGCTCAAAGTTCGCTGTGGATGCGTGATTCTGTCGATGGCGGTTTTAACAAATCTGTTGCCTTTTTCTTCCCTCGCAAGCAGCCAACTGCAGTTTCATACACAGCTCCAGTGTTCATATTCTGGCAACATGATGTATCTCGAAGTTCTATGTGTCGTGTCAGATTTTCGATTTGCTGGTCCATTTCAATCCATTCTGGTTTTATAAAGCTTCCAAAAGTTTGGAAGCAGAACAATAGAAGCATG